GGCTCCCAGGCAGCAGAAACCAGAGCTAGCTGCGATGAGCCCCCACAGCAGCTGCAAGACTTGGGAGTCTGCGGTTTAGACTCAACGGTTTAGGGTTTAGGGTTTAGGGTTTAGGGTTTAGGGTTTGGGGTTTGAGGGTTTAGGGTTTGGGGGCCCTTAAGACGGCGGTCGTCGCAGGGCTGCTGCCAGCTGGAGATACACCTGAGTGTCTCTGCTGCTGCTGCTGGGCTTAATTCTGTTCATTAATTTTAATTTGAAGTTAAAGCAGCAGCAGCAGCAGCAGCAGTGGACAGCGAGCTGCAGCAGCAGCAAAAAGGCAGCAGCAGCAGCCGCAGCAGCAGCAGCCACTGCTGCTCGCTGTCTGCGCAGCAGCAGCAGCAGCACGTGCTGCTGGGGCCCTTTCAAAAGCCTGTCTTTAACTTTATTTATAATTGCTGCTGAGCTTGTCCTGATTGCCTGCTGGAGTCGAGCAGCAACAATCCTGCAGCAGCAGCAGCAGCAGCAGCAGCAGCAGCAGCAGCAGCAGCAGCAAGGCGGGCAGCACCTGGTGGGACTCCGAGGCAGAGTTCATCTCGGGCCAAACCCCTTTTGGTTTTGGGGGCTCTTGAGGCTTGCAGCAGCAGCAGCAACAACAACAGTAGCAGCAAAAGCAGCAGCAGCAGCAGCAGCAGCAGCAGCGGGAGCCGCAGCAATAGCAGCAGCAGCCGAAGCAGCAAAGCTCCCCTCACGCTAGCTGCGCAGCAGCAGCAGCAGCCGCATCTGCAGCAACAGCAGCAGCAGGAGTCTTAGCAGCAGCAGCAGCAGCGCAGCGCAATCCTTCTCATCTCCCGCAGCAGGCAGAGGGCACTTCCCCTGCTGCTGCTCTTGCTGCTGCTGCTGCTGCTGCTGCTGCTGCAGTTGTCTTGTGTCTTTACGAGGAAATTAGGGCTTGGACACACAGAGGACAGCAGCAGCAGCGACAACAGCGTGAGCACAGCAGCAGCAGCAGCAGCAGCAGAAGCAGCAGCAGACAGCAGCAGGCAGCAGCAGCAGCAGCAGCAGCTGCTGCTGCAGAAGCAGCAGCAGCAGCAGCCGCACGGCCAGCAGCCAGCAGCACCCCGCAAAGCCCCCAAGGGAAAGCGTAAAGGGCTGCAGCAGCAACAGCAACAGAAGCAGCAGCAACAGCAGCAGCAGCAGCTTTATTTCGGCGAGCCGCTTGCCCTATTTACGTCGTCCCCGGCGCAGTGCTCGCATCGAAGCAACAGCAGTAGCAGCAGCAGCAGCAGCAGCAGCAGCAACAGCAGCAGCAGCAGCAGCAGCAGCAGCAGCAGCAGCGGCGTGAGAGAGACCCGCAGCGGGAGAGCGAGGATGAGTGCCCTGACCGCCGGCAGTGGCGGCTTCGCAGCAGCAGCAGCAGCAGCAGCAGCAGCAGCAGCAGCAGGAGGCGGCGTCCCGTCCTCTTCCGCAGCGAGCGGCGTTGCTGCAGCAGCAGCTGCTCCCGCAGCAGCTCCTGCTGCAGCAGCAGCAGCAGGCCCCGCCTCCGCGGCCGCGGCCCCCCCCGCCTCCGCAGCAGCAGCAGCAGCAGCAGCAGCAGCAGCAGCAGCAGCAGCAGGGGGCCCCCGAGCAGCATTTCATGTCGGAGAGGCCCCCTCAGCTCGCTTCGGCCACACTTCCACTTATGTGGGGTTTAACAAAGTTGTGGTTTTCGGGGGCGCGGTGGGGTGTACGTACACTGCTGCTGCTGCTGCTGCTGCTGCTGCTGCTGCTGCTGCTGCTGCTGCTGCTGCTGGGGCTGTTTTGCTGCTTTTCGCCGCTCTTTCGTTTGCTTTTAATTGTGTCTTCTTTTGGTTATTTTTAATTATATCTTGAAAGGGTTTAGGGTTTACGAGGGTTTGCGAAAATAAAAGCGGAAACTAAAAAGAAGGGTTTAGGGTTTAGGGTTTAGGAGGGTTCGGGCGGAGAAGCAAAGAGAGGAAGTGAAAAAAAAGGGTTTAGGGTTTGGGAGGGTTTGGGAAAAAAGAGGAAAGGGCGGACATAAGAAAAAAGGGTTTAGGGTTTAGGAGGGTTTGAAAAGAGGAAAAAATAAGAAAAAAGGGTTTAGGGTTTAGTGTTTACGAGGTTTTGAAAAAAGGAAGAAATAAGAAAAAAGGGTTTAGGGTTTAGGGTTTAGGAGGGTTTGAAAAAGGGAAGAAACAAGAAAAAAGGGTTTAGGGTTTAGGAGGGTTTGAAAAGGGGAAGAAACAAGAAAAAAGGGTTTAGGGTTTAGGAGGGTTTGAAAAAGGGAGGAAACAAGAGAAAAGGGTTTAGGGTTTAGGGTTTAGGGTTTAGGGTTTAGGGTTTGGCGGGCGTGTGCGCAGCGGCTGGGGGCTACAGCATAACGAACGAGACTTTCGTGTTTGAAGTTTCTTCTTCTTTTTGGACAAAACTTTCTGCAGAAAACCCTCCAAACCCTCGAGCAGCGCATGCAGCTTGTTGCGTGGATAACCTCCAATTGGTGGTTTTCGGCGGCGCCACCGGCGGC